TAAATAAATGAAAAGAAATATAAACAAAACAACATGTTAGCAGACTGTGAGCTATATATTATAGACATACAAATGGTGATGGTATGAAATGCTGAATGAAAAATTGGCAGATGTTGTTCGGATGTGCAAGTGGGTAGAAGAAAGGCTTTACAAGAAAGGGGCATCTGCGATAACCCCTTGCATTACCTGTCCACTGTAAATCTCTTGTGCCATTCTCTCTTGCTCATTAGGCACAATGACCATCTTCCAGTTCTTAAAAACTAAGTTCCTCCCAGACTCAAAGCATTTATGCCACCGTCTGGATGCTCTTTCCCCAAATCCTCTCATGACTGCCTCCTTTCTCCCTCTCTGAATCCCTGTTCCAATGCCACTTCTTCAGAGATGCCTTTCCAGTCCCACCAACCTGAAGCTGGCCTTTCCCTCCTTCCATCACAACGGCTTATCTCCGTCAAAGCTCTTATAACCGGCTGCATTGCCTTAACTCGTTTATTAATCGTTTCCACCGTTGGAACGTAAACTCCCTTAAAACAGGGATTTTTGTCTTGAGCATCCGTTTTTCTTTATACCCGAATTCGAGCTAAGAGTAGTAGTAGACACTAAATCAATTAATACTTATTGAGGGAATGCATGAGTGCCAAAAAGTGAGACGACAGCTTGGGAGAAGAGTAGGCTCAAGAAGCCGCCAGAAGGGAACGGAAAAAGCCAGGTGGGTTGGAAGCTGACGGGAGCTGAAGGTTCACGTCGGTGGGACTGACGGCGTCGGACCACCGCTTCAGGCTACCCACCCCCACGCGTGGGGCTGGCGGAGGGGCATCGACCGCTGAGTGACCAACCCCTGGACCTTCCCCTCGGGAAAGGCAAACGAGCGGTTCTCTTCAGACCCGATCTGTCCCACCCCGCGGGCCTCACGCAACTGTCCTCCGCGGAAACGCCAACCTATGGTGACCAAACTTATCTCCTGGGCCCGAGCCCGTCGGGGGCTGCCAGCGTGTTTGAGAAACGGCCATCCCCCGCGGGTCCCCACAAGGAATCCGACACCCGCCCTGTGATGCGCGTCTCCCCGCCTCCAGCCCACCCCGGGCCCCCGTCGGACCTTCCTCACTTACGCTTGTCTCCGAGCTATGAGCCGATGCATGGGAGTCGCCATCTTAGCGCGGCCGCGGCCTGCCGCGCGGGCTTTTGGGAAACTCCTCGGAGGGGGCGGGGACTTCGAAACGCTGACGGCCGTAGATGTGGGCGGGGCCAGACGGGCCTCAAGGGCTTCTGGGGTGGCGTCGTGGAGGCGGTGGGGACTGTGTTGTCTCCAGGGCGGGTGTGGGGTTGTGGGGCTCCAGTAGGGTTTTGTTTGAAGGATAGGGAGGTAGAACATTCTGGAATGAGGCATGCAGAAACTCTGCAGTGTTCAGAAAATTAAAAGTCTGGAGAATAAAATAGGAATCAGCTGACCAGGATTGAGATCATTAACTGAAAGAATGACTTGAGCAAACCATAAAGTGCAAACATATGTTAATTGTTTCTATTTTTTATGTAGTCCACAGATTTTAGTGATGTTGTCAGGACCAAATGAGAATCTTGAAGTAAAGCTGCTTTGTCAACTGGAAAAGGAATATACAAACATTTTAGGATTTTTTAGCTGGTCTTCATTTAGTATCAGCTCATGGAGAATTTTGTTCTCTTAAATCCACATTGTTTGAAATACATACAACTTCCTGAAAATGCATGTGTGTGTTTCTGCATCATCCATATTTTTTATTTTTCAATTAAAATTTTTTTCTTTGCTTCCATTTTTATTTTTTGTTATTTTTTTCTTTGTTGGACAGTTCATCTGTCTGAATATTTGTTTTAAGTTAATAATTACAGCATTTAGACCAGGCGTGGTGGCTCACGCCTGTAATCCTAGCACTCTGGGAGGCCAAGGCAGGCGGATCTTTTGAACCCAGGAGTTCCAGACCAGGCTGAGCAAGAGCAAGACTGTTTCTATTTAAAAAAAAAATAGAAATTAGCTGGACAACTAAAAAAAAAAATTATCCGGGCATGGTGGCACATGCCTGTAGTCCCAGCTACCCAGGAGGCTGAGGCAGGAGGATCACTTGAGGCCAGGAGTTTGAGGTTGCTGTGAGCTAGGCTGACCCCAGGGCACTCTAGCCAGGGCAACAGAGTGAGACTCTGTCTCAAAAAAAAATTGAAAAAATCAGCCAGCCAACTAAAAATAGAAACAAAAAATTAGCTGGGCCTGTCGGTGTGCACCTGTAGTCCCACCTACTTGGGAGGCTGAGGCAAGAGGATCGCTTGAACTTAGGAGTTCAAGGTTACACTGAGCTATTATCTCACCACTGCACTCCAGCCTGGATGGCAGAGTGGGAGACCTTGTCTCCAGAGAGGAAAAAAAAATTAAAAAAAGAAAAAAAAGGACAATGGAGGGTTCTAATATCAATTCCATTATACCAAGGTTTTTGTCAACGGGACATTCCCTTGTCATAGCAGACTACTTTCCTCCCTTGATCCCTTCCTATAGCCGCTCTCTACAATTTTCTTCTCATTTGTTCTTATTTGCTCCTTTTTTTTTTCTTGTAGCAGAGCATCACTTTGTTGCCCAGGCTAGAGTGCCATGGCATCAGCCTGGCTCACAGCAACCTCAAACTCCTGGGCTCAAGCGATCCTCCTGCCTTAGCCTCCTGGGTAGCTGAGATTACAGGTGTGTGTCACCACCTCTGATTAATTTTTCTATTTTTAGTAGAAATGGGATCTCACTCTTGCTCAGCCTGGTCTGGAACTTCTGACCTCAAGCAACCCTCTCCCTCACGCCTCACCTCAGCCCCCCAGAGTGCTAGGATTACAGGCCTGAGGCGCCCCCGCCCCCCGCCTATTTGTCCCTCCTTTGTTCAAAGGGAGAAATGGGCAGGCACACTGCCTCAGCAGATAGCAAACTAAGGCATGGAATGCAAGTCTCTCTCCAGTCTTCACAAGAGCCTCCCTTTGTACCTGCCTTTCCTGGAGAGGCAGCACTTCCCACCCCACTCAGATTAGGAGGAGAAGGAGCTCTCTTCTCCCCATGTAGTAATTCTGCAGTCCCCACAGGGCAAATCACCATCTCCCTGTCCTCCCCAGTTTTCCTACAGAGACTGGCATGGTGGGGTGGTTGCACTGGAAAGGGGGCTGGAAGTGTCTCCGCTGTTTTTTTGCTTACTTTCTTGGGGAAGTTGGCTGGCTCCAATTCTTGGCAAGTTTCTTAAGGGCGCAGGCTAGTTAGCACTCTTGTGTTTTCATCTGTGGGCCCTCATCACCAATTCTAGAACAATTAGGGAAAATCTCACATAGCGGCTTGTTAGAACCACCACCACCAAAAATATTTCTTTATGTGTCAGGCACTGTGTAAAGCATTTTATATTAACTGTCTTATTTATTAAAAATTGTCATATAAGGTAAGTCCTATTATTCCCCCCACCTTTTTTTTTTATGACAGAGTCTCACTCTGTTGCCCAGATCAGAGTGCTGTGGCATTAGCCTAGCTCACAGCAACCTCAAACTCCTGGGCTCAAGCGATCCTTCTGCCTCAGCCTCCCGAGTAGCTGGGACTACAGGCATGCGCCACCATGCCTGGCTAATTTATTCTATACATTTTTAGTTGTCCAGCTAATTTCTTTCTATTTTTAGTTGAGACAGGGTCTCACTGTTGCTCAAGCTGGTCTTGAACTCCTGAGCTCAAACAATCCTCCCTCCTCGACCTCCCAGAGTGCTAGGATTACAGGCATGAGCCACTGTGCCCGGCCCAGAGTGTAATTTTTAAAAAATTAAAAACATGTAAATATGTAGTGCAGGTATTTCAGTGACTTATTTAACTTATTCATGAGGGAGCCAGCAGGATAGTAAAGCTGATTAGATAGATAATTCAAGAGACCGATGTGAAAGAAAGAATGCTTAAATAATTAGATTCCTAAATTAGATTTTAAAAACTTGGCTATTCTACAAGGGCAATAAAAGCATAATCTTTGGGAATATCTTTTCTACTAGACAGAAATAATTTACATCCCTACCAAACAGAAACCATTTGCAATTTATCAATCTTCTGTAAGTTAACATTTAATTTTACAGAGTCAGGGACCTGATCAATAGAAAATGACAAATCAGGCCTGCCCGGTGGCTCATGTAATCCTAACACTCTGGGAGGCTGAGGTGAGCGGATGGCTCAAGGTCAAGAGCTCGAAATCAGCAAGAGCGGACCCCCCCACCCCCCCCACTCCCCCCTCCACCCCGTCTCTACCAAAAATAGAAAAGAAATTAACTGGCCAACTAAAAAGATATAGAAAAAATTATCGGGGCATGGTGATATATGCCTATGGTCCCAGGTACTCGAGAGTCTGAGGCAGGAGGATCGCTTGAGCCCAGGAGTTTGAGGTTGCTGTGAGCTGGGATGACACCAGGACACCACGGCACTCTACCTGGGCAACAGAGTGAGACTCTGTCTCAAAAAAAAAAGAAACGAAAATGACAAGTCAAAATTACATTTTCCTAGAAAATCATATCGCCATTAGAAGGGCTTGTTAGACAATGCTTTAGTATGATATTGAAAGGGCAAGCAGTAAACTTTTTGCCTTATTTTCAAATTTTGAGTAATTTTTCTTAACTTTGTTTTTATTGTCTTTTGTTTATGGTCTTTTTTTGTAAACTTCTGTATCTTTTATTGTTTTTGCCTATTGGTGTTATGCTAACTCAAGTTCACTATATGTGAGTTTTGTTTGTTAAGCGTATATGGCTTATATATATACTTACTCTTTATTTTCTGGTAATTATATAATTTAATTTTTTAAATTTAATTTCTAAACCATTAGATATTTTATTTATTAGGAATATGTTCTTGTATACGGCTTGAGATAGAGATCTAACATTTTTTGAAGGGGTTAGCTAATGTCCCCTTACAAAATGTCCCCTCAATGCCCCCCCACCCTCCCACCCACTAATTTGAAATGCCATGTATCATATGCTAGATTCTGATACTCAGGTTCGGTTTTGGACTTTTTATTTCTCTTCTGCTCTATTCGCTTTTGTCTTTTCTGGTGCCAGCATCACAGTTCTAATTATCACTGCTCTACCACGCTGTGTTCTCTCTTGCAGCTCTGGCAGGACGTCTCTGCTGCTTCTCACACCTTCAGTGAGAAGCGCTGATCCTCACAGAGAAGGAGTGGCCAGCCTTGCACCACAGGTAGCAGCAACTCTCAAACACTGCAGTGAAAATATAGTGCATGCTTTAAGAAGTTCCATTGAAATATCCTAGAAAAAGACACTAACCTGAGGACCCCGAAAGCAAATGCTGAGAGCTGTGTATGTGTGCAGGGTGGGGTGTGGCTGGGGGAGAGTATTAGCAAATTTGTGTAACTCAGACAGGGCAAATCCATAAAATCCTTAACTTCTGGTTACTCAATAAAGGACCCCTGGGTCTGGCGGTGGCTCACGCCTGTAATCCTAGCATACTGGGAGGCCGAGGTAGGAGGATCGTTTGGGTTCAGGAGTTCAAGGCCAGCCTGAGCAAGAACAAGATGCCGTCTCTACTAAAAGAAAAATAGAAAGAAATTAACTGGAAAACTGAAAATATATAGAAAAACTTAGCCAGGCATAGTGTTGCGTGCCTGTAGTCCCAGCTACTCGGGAGGCTGAGGCAGGAGGATTGCTTGAGCCCAGGAGTTTGAGGTTGCTGTGAGCTAGGCTGATGCCACGGCACTCTAGCCTGGGCAACTGACTGAGACTCTGTCTCAAAAAAAAAAAAAAAAAAAAAGAACAAAACCCTGGCTCTCTCTTTTACTTTTACTTTTTATCTTGCCATTTTTCACTCTTCCTCTTCTTAGGCCATTCCCCTGGAGCTAAAGCTGTCCTGCCTCCTCTTCCTCCCTCTACTACAGTGAGGTCCCAGCAACAGGCATGCTGGCTGCAGGTGGCTGCCTGCTCCTCACACCAGGACAAGAATGGCCTGTCTCTGGGAAGGGTCCCCTAGAAGTTTAAGGCTTGAGTTTAGGGTCCCCTAGAAGTTTAAGGCTTGGTGTTTTACCTGCCTTGTAGAAACATACAGGGCAGTCTTCCAAAACCAACTGGGTATCACTGGTCTTCATTGCAACGGGATCTTGTCTCAAAGTAAAATCTCTTCCAAAGTGGAGAGACAAAGTGACCATCTGCCTTCTCCCTGTGAAGGAAGAGAAAGTATAACTGCGTCACAAGCACAAGAAGGCAGGCTCCAGTGAGAAGGGAAGAGGGCAAAAACAATCCTCATTCACTTTCCAATTTTGCTGAGAGGCCAACTGTGCTCTACACAATACAGTTAGGCTCCGCTTGTGTTTCAGAGAATGCTGATAATAATTTAACATCAATAACAGAAACTTTTTTAAGGCAATGAAAAGTTACGTGTTAGTATATTGAATCCCTCTAGAACTCCTACTATGGGCTAAGGCAGGATTCTCTGTTTTAATTCAAAACCACTAGGAAAAGATAAGATGAAACCAAAAAAATGGACAGGACTCTGAGTACCATAGAATGACTATAGAAAACAGGATTCCTGGCCCAAGAATCCTTTCTTCTAAATGTGTCATTACTCTCCATTTTTTTGGGTCTGCTTTGGTCAAGACTTAGCTCAGTGTTTAGGGGGACCATGGAATAGCTTCAAAGGGACTTTGACTAGGAAGCTGCGAGCCAAATTGCGAAGGGACATGAATTTACAATTGCACAGGTAACATAAGGAGAGACCATGCCCTGATGGAGGCATTTCAGGTACTATTCTAAACCAGTGGATGAGATCTGTTAGCATAGGTGGGGAACTTTACAGGCGTCTGGACCGCATCTCATTCAGTGTTATAGATGTGCCAAAGATAAATATGTCACTCCTTTCTCACTACTCACAATATGTGCTAATGCTATTAGAACAAAAATGTCATCCCAAGCTCTGCTTGGACTGCTGAACCCAGTGAGGGAAACCAGTTGGAATTTTTAGGGTCATTACTCTTTCCTCAAAAATAAACTTTTGCCTTTGGTGGAAATAGCATAAAATATATCCATATTTAATAGACTAAATAGAATTCCTAAAGGGCTAGTCATCCAGTTTTGAAGAAAATGACTTTACCACATTTCTACTCTCTGCTGAGTAGCTCATTCTTGCAAAGCATTTCAAGAACACAGAAAGTTCTTATGTTTTTTGTTTCACAATGTTGCCACAGTGAATGCTGCTTCTGGCTCACAACATCTGCGAGGTAGAAGCTTCTTCTGGATGATGCCAGGTCACCTTTGCCAGTCTTGGCCTTTGTCTTGTCTGGAAGAGAGCTCACTCCTGAAAATGAGCTCAAGTCAACTCCTCATTTCTGTCGCTGTTGCTGCGGCCTTTGGCCACAGGGTTGGGTTCCTGTGCCACTCCCAGGAAAAAACTCTCCTCTGAGTTAGGGCTTGCACTGCTGGTGTTTCAGTGGCAAGCTCTAATCCTCTGTGATATATTTAGGTTTTGAACTCACGTTGCATTTGAACATTGACTACATGTCAACAAGAAAATTAATGGCCTTCCTTTGGTTGTGAAGTGACATGTGGGCAGAATGCCACATGAACTTGAGGCTGTTCATAGTAACGCTGATCTTTTATCAAATTATAAACATTTGCTCTTCAGATTTCTCTTGAATGAGAAAACCTGAAAAATAAATTATTACCAGGGTCCGGAGGGCCTTTAAAATCACTGTCTCTGGGTCTTAGAGCAAGAAGCAAAGCGTGTTCTGTCAGAGACAAATGGGCTGGAAGTTGGCTGAAGGGAAACCAGCACCGGATACTGGATCCTGATGAATATGATTGTCCAAATGAAAAATGGTCAAGAAAGTTTTGTAACGCCTGTAATCTTAGCACTCTGGGAGGCCGAGGCGGGAGGATAGCTCAAGGTCAGGAGTTGGAAACCAGCCTGAGCAAGAGCAAGACCCCCTCTCTACTAAAAATAGAAAGCAAATTAATTGGCCAACTGAAATATATAGAAAAAATTAGCCGGGCATGGTGGTGCATGCCTGTAGTCCCAGCTACTCGGGAGGCTGAGGCAGTAGGATCGCTTGAGCCCAGGAGTTTGAGGTTGCTGTGAGCTAGGCTGATACCATGGCACTCTAGCCCGGGCAACAGATTGAGACTCTGTCTAAAAAAAAAGTAGAAAGTTTTGTAAGTTGGTAAGTTGTAGGAATGAGATGGCAGCTGTTGGCTTCCTAGGAAGGGGGCCCTTTACTCGGGAACAGGACAGTTAGCAGACCAGGCCAAGAGGCAGGACTTGGGGATACGGCTGGAATGTCAGCTGCTAGAGGTGGCAGAAAACCAGGAGAGATGGGAGTGTGGGGCTCGCTGAGGAGAGAGTGGAGCAGGTGGGTGAAGAGACTGTGAGTTATGCCAGGAAAGTCACTGCTGATCAATGGGCCCAGATTAAGGGGTTAAATTCTCATGATCATATCAGCTCGTGTAGCATGGAGAAATCTGTGCAATGCTCACTCGGTATTTTAAGAAAGATAAATAAGCCGGGCACGGTGGCTCACGCTTATAAGCCTAGCACTGTGGGAGGCTGAGGCGGGAGAATTGCTTGAGCCCAAGAGTCCAAGACCAGCCTGAGCAAAAGCGAGATCCCTGATTCTCTCCTCCTTTCCTCTCCTTCTCTGCCTCCCCCTCAAAAAAAGAGCGAGACCCCGTCTCTACTAAAAATAGAAAGAAATTAGCCAGGCAACTAAAAATATATTTTAAAAAACTAGCCAGGTGTGATGGCACATGCCTGTAGTCTCAGCTACTTGGGAGGCTGAGGCAGGAGGATCGCTTGAGACCATGAATTTGAGGTTGCTGTGAGCTAGGCTGATGCCATGGCACTCTACCCGGGGCAACAGAGTGAGACTCTGTTCAAAAAAAAAAAAAAAAAGAAAGATAAATAAATAAGAAAGATGTTTGTGAGTGGAAAACGTAGGAAATGAAACTGTGCTCTACTACATCTTAACCCAGTATTTCTTACCTTTATATTTGTATTTATGATTACACAAAGTTAAACAAGTTTTCTACTTCTCAGAGTCTTTAAAATGGTAATTTTAACCTATTAATATCTCCTAGAACACTGTCCTGTGGAACAGTTTGAGAAAATGTGGTTTAACCTATTATTTTATTTTAATTTTCTTTTTTTAAAATTTTATTTATTTATTTATTGTTATGTTTATATATACCTTACTTTTTTTATTTCTCTTTCTCTTTTTACGAGATACTTAACACAACGCATTTTTTTTTTATTTATTTTTTTTATTTATATATACCTCTACTTTTTTTATTTTTTCTTTCTTTTTACGTAACCTATGTATTATAAAGGCCTTAAGCAAATTCAACACTTTTATAACGAAAGCACTGAAAAAAAAATTCTAGAATGTCAGCAGTGAATGACTCTAGTTGACTTTTTTTGTGTGTCTGTACACCCTCAAACTCCTGGTACCAAGGACCCTCCTGCCTCAGCCTCCTGAATAGCTGGGACTATAGGCACTCACCATCACGTACAAGGAATGTTTCTATTTTTTGTAGAGATGGGGTCTCACTCTTGCTCACGCTGGTATTGAACTCCTGGCCTCAAGCCATCCTCCCCCCTCAGCTTCCCAGAGTGCTAGGATTACATGTGAAAGCCACTGCTGTGCCCAGCCTGCCATATTTATTTTTTTTTCATATTTACTTTAATAAATCTGTACAAGGAACATGAGCTTAAAAGAAGCAGTGGTGTAATTGTAGCACACTAGTGTTGAAGTCGGAGTTTTATATATTTTTTCTTTTTTTCAATTGATCTTTATCTGACTGTGAACAATCAAATGAGATAACCCACTACCTTCAGACCAGACAAACTTGGAATTTTAAAAGCTGTGTGGGGGCCGGCCGCGGTGGCTCATGCCTGTAATCCTAGCACCCTGGGAGGCGAGGTGGGTGGATCGCTAGAGGTCAGGAGTTCGAAACCAGCCTGAGCAAGAGTGAGACCCCCGTCTCTACTAAAACAATTGACAGAAATTAGCTGGACAACTAAAAAAAAAATTAGCCGGGTAAAGGCACTGGTGCACTCACTGTGGGGGCAGGGAGACCAGAAAAGCACCACTATCTGAGCACATAGCTTGCCTGTGAAGCAAAAAGTTGCAGAAGCTGCTCCCGCCTGTAGCACAGGATTCCATTAGACATTTGGCAGGGAGAATGATGTGTCCCCAACTGAGGACCTTTTGTTTCTTGCTGGGCAGCCTTTGAAATGTTGTATATTTTAACACAGGGTGTGGAATGGAGGTGACTTGTGCACTCTAATATCAAGCACCCCTCCACTGGCTGAGCCGTCTTCATCCCTTCCGCATAGGGACCTTCTCCCTGTTGTGCTCTTTTCAGTCTCTGACGTCACTCTCTCCTCGCTAACCTCCTTTCCCCATTGGATCTGATGCCTTCCTCACCACTGCAGTTGTCTTCCTCTAGGTCCCTGTCAACATAAACGCCATCCTTTGATGTCAACCTCCTTCACCCTGCAGTCCTTTAGCCTCATATCCCTTAAGAGTCTGACGTTTTAGCCCCGTCTGTTCCTGATGTCATCGCCCATCATAGACCTTGACATCAGAGCGTATGTGTTTAGTGTCTGACCCTGACGCTTATGTTTTCTCCCCTGGGCCCAACATTTAGCCGCCTGTTACGGGTCCTTTCTTCCTGGCATCATTCCTTCTCATCTCTGACTTCAGCCTTCATCCTTATCCGACTGCCCCCTGAAGGCAGCCCTTTGAGTTTCTCAAGAGTAGACTGCCTGAGATGCCCTCTATAAAACATAGTGCTCCAGTCTTCAGAGGGTATAAATCCCAATCCACAGATGATGTTTGCCGTCCCTGAGTAGCTGAGCCCTTGAGCCACAGAAAGGACTTTCACGATGCACAATGGACTTATCCAAAGCAAGCAGTGTCTGAGCTCACTGCCTACAATTTGATCTTCTCCAGCCTTCAATTTCTGAGCTACAATAAATGGATTTGACAGATTAAAAAAAAAATATCCCCTTGTGATCACTTGGAACTAAATTTTATCATTTTACCACAGAAAGACATTTAACAACTTCCAGATTCTAAAATACTCAAGATGCTCTGCTTAAATGAAAAGAACTTGTGATCCAAACACAATGCCTCTAACATTAAAAATTCTGGAAACTTCCTTGGTTTACGATTGTGATTCTTGGAAATTTGCCACTTTAAATTCTTCGGAATTCTCAAATAACTTTTTCTGACTTCATTTATTTAAATATCCCAGAATAGCCTCTTGAGCTATAAGTTTGATGATCCAGGAAACTATTTATAGCAGGATGAGTACTCTCTGTGACTAATGTTAGTTATGTTTTATTTTGAGAAGGACAAATTGTTAAAAAGGTTATAGGGCTGGTGGTATTTTAAACTGAAAGCAGTACCAAAGCAAACAAGGCAGCTGAGGTATGAAGTTGGAAGATAGTAAGGTATGATCTCAATACAGGATTCTTGGGGGAAATACAAGATGGATGTAGGACTTAGAGGAAGGAAAAAAAGATATAGATGTACTTTTTTGCCAATTGTTCTAAAGGCTGGGGAGGCCTCCCAAAAGAAGGAAGGCAGAGACAGTAACCTAGACAAAGTGATCTTTCAGGTTGATTGGACACTTCGACCTAGGCATCCTGGGCTGCCTGCCCAGTGCTTAATAACTCAGACAAACAGATGGATATAGGACCCTATGTCATAGTTAAGATCAATACTGTCCTTGGTGTTATTGATATCCTCACTAGGTAGGAGAAAAGTAGAAGTCAGAGGAAGAATTTTCAAGTTCAACCTAACTTCTTTTAAACTTGTAAAAATTGTGGCAAAATATACATAAAAGTTACCAGTTTAATCATTTTTAAGTGCCCAAATCAGTTATTGAGTACATTCACATTTTGTGCAATCATCACCATTATTCATCTCCAAATCTTTTTCATCATTTTATTATTATTAGTTTTTTAAGACAGAGTCTCACTCTGTTGCCTGGCTAGAGTGCCATGACATCAGCCTAGCTCACAGCAACCTCAAACTCCTGGGCTTAAGCAATCCTCCTTTCTCAGCCTCCCAAGTAGCTGGGACTACATGCATGCTCCACCAAGCCCGGCTAATTTTTTCTATATATTTTCAGTTGTCCAGCTAATTTCTTTCAATTTTTTTAGTACAGATGGGGTCTCACTCTTGCTCAGGCTGGTCTTGAACTCCTGAGCTCAAACTATCCACCCACCTTGGCCTCCCAGAGTGCTAGGATTACAGGTGTGAGCCACCAGGCCCGGCCTTTTTTCATTTTAAATTGAAATTTTGTCAACGATCATTCTCCATTTCATTCTACCCACAAGCCTGTATTAACCACTACGCCAGTTTCTGTCTCTATGTATTTGCCTATTCTAGGTACTTCATACAAGAGGAATCATACTAATTTGTCCATTTATTTTGTTTTTCACTTGGCATGTTTTCAATGTTCATTCATGTTGCAGTATGTATCAGAATTTCATTCCTTTACCTTTTCATGCCATTGTGTGTATATACCACATTTAAAAAACTAATTCAGCCATCAATGGACATTTGGGTTGTTTCCAGCTTTTGGCTATTGTGAATAAGTTATATGGGTGTAGCAATATCTGTTTGCTCCTGCTCTCTTTCTTTGCACAGGCTTTTCCTTGCTGACTCCACTCCTTTTACCCCATTACTCTTTTACAGGTAGCACCTGGTATTTGTCTTAAAAAAACCAGATTTGGATTACCCAAAATGTGAGAACTATGTGATAATTTGCAAGTTTAAAGGTAAACAACTTGGGCTTTCACATGGCTCCTAGAAACTGAAGTACCTCCTGAGTTAGCAGGAAATGCAGAGATTTAAAAGCACACAGTTCCAGGGAAATGTAACTTTGTCTTTGCTCATTCATTCATTTTTTTTTTTTTTTTGAGACAGTCTCACTCTGTTGCCTGGAGTAGAGTGCTGTGGCATCAGCCTAGCTCACAGCAACCTCAAACTCCTGGGCTCAAGCATTCCTACTGCCTCAGCCTCCCAAGTAGCTGGGACCTTAGGAATGCGCCACTATGCCTGGCTAATTTTTACTATATATATATTTAGTTATCCAGTTAATTTCTATTTTTTTTTTTTTAGTAGAGACAGGGTCTCGCTGTTGCTCAGGTTGATCTCAAACTCCTGAGCTCAATCCACCAGCCTTGGCCTCTGCCTCCCAGAGTGCTAGGATTACAGGTGTGAGCTACCACGCCAGGCCATCATTCATTTTTTTTTTTTAGAAAAACATTCATTTTATTGTGGTAAGAACACTTTATTTTTTTTTTTTGGAGACAGAGTCTTGCTTGATCACCCAGGCTACAGTGTCATGGTGTCATAGCTCACAGCAACCTCAGACTTCTGGGCTCAGGTGATTCTACTGCCTCACCTTCCTGAATAGCTGGGACTATAGGCACAGCACTACACCCCGATAATTTTTCTGTTTTGTCAAGACGGGTCTCACTCTTGCCTGTTGTTCAGGTTGGTCTGGCAATCCTCCTCCCTCAGCCTCTCACATGGCTAGGATTACAGGTGTCAGCCACAGTGCTAGCTGCTCATTCACTTTTAAGTGGTCCAAAGGCAAGTATTCTAGCCCTGAGATCTTCAACTCCAGCCTACCCTTCAGCAATACAGGACTTCTCTTAGTTCTCAAACCACACTAGCTTCTGTATTACTGTTTTTTCAATTTGAACACAGCCTTTTCCTTTTCCGGGAAGTCCTCCTGGTCTCCACGTTCTGTGCATGGGGCACTTGCCACCCTGTAGTAGGGTCCCCTTTACCTGCTTAGCTCCCTTCCTGAGGGGGAATATCCGTTTCGTAGAGCTGAAGTTTATACACTGTGGGAGCCCTTAAAAAAAAAATCACAAAATATTTAAAACGAAAAATCACATTACTGGAGACTTGGAGATTCAGATTCTCCTTCTTCTGAGATCTCTTTGGGCAATTTATTAGAAATGCTTGCACAGAATTGCCTCATCTCAGACTGGCTTCTCCTGTCCACCTGGAACACTCCGGAGCTCTCAGCAACTCCCTGCTCTCCCAGGGGACCACGCAAGTGAGGGGCCCTGAAGCTTAACTCATTGCTTCAGGTAACCCTGCCACTGACTCCCTGGTCTGTGCGGACGATCCAGGCCGGCTAGGGTGTCACCTGTCTGCGTCCCCTGCACGCAACTCAGGACCTAGCACTGAGGAGGTGCTTGGAATGCGTTGGGGATTGAAAGGCTTAAGTCCTGCAGGTCCCTCACTTTGATGTAACGACACGAGCGGCTCAGAGAACGGTGCGACAAGGCGGCGTCACCGGGAGCGGCTTCCTCCCTCCGCTGGGGAGGGCACCGTCTCCGACGCTGACGGAGCCCGACCGAAGGCCCTGCTCGGGGCCGCTTCCAACGGCGGCCTTCTCTGCGACTGGCCGCCCCACCCTGAAGAGAACCGAGCGCCCTGCGGAGTGTGATCCGCTCGCGCTCTTTTTCAGGAGTCCCCACAAATCGAAGGTGGAGTGGAGAACACGCTCCCACCTAAAGCTCCTTTGAGACTAGAACGATGGAAACGGCGCGCCGCACTTCCGCCTGGGTCCTACTCCGCTACTTCCTTCCGGAATGGGAGGTGCTGTGCCGCGGAGCGCGTTGCGGAGGGAGCAGGGCGCATGCTCAATCGGCCAGCTCTGCTTCCCAGCCAACTTTCAGCCGCTCCTGCCCAGGTCCTCGTGCCAGGACGTGACGTTTCCTTACGTCCTGGGGGCGGGACTTCAGGGGAAAGGGCCCTGAGCCGGGATATCGCGAGAACATTCTCTTCTTTCGCAGGTCTCGCGCTGCGGCTCTGCTCCCGTCCCTACGAGATCCTTCGAGATCTTCTCCGCCCCCGCTACCGGCGCCTCCTCTGCGGCCGCTGAGCCGGAGCCGGCCTGAGCTGCGCCCTTGGTTGCGGTCTCCCCGGCCAGGACCCGGGCGCTCACGTGGACGCCCCCCTCCAGCGGCCCCCGTCCCCCGGCCCGCGCGGCCCGCTCTCCACGCGCCAGCCCCGCCGGGGTCCGCGTCCTGTCCCGGCAGCCGGACCCGGGCCCGAGCCGTAGCCGGCGCCATGTCGGTGGTGGGCATAGACCTGGGCTTCCAGAGCTGCTACGTCGCGGTGGCCCGCGCCGGCGGCATCGAGACCATCGCGAACGAGTACAGTGACCGCTGCACGCCGTAAGTGGGGCCGGGCCGGCGGCGCGCACGGGCTCCGGGCTGCGGCCCTCGCTGCTCGGGGAGTGCGGGCCAAGGAGTCGCCTCCCTGGTTCCCAGCCGAGGTCCCGGCGGGGCGGGGACCCTCGCTGGGTGCCGGGTCACTGGTGGCGACCACGCGCCTGGAGCCTGGGTCCGCGCTGGGCGCGAGGCCTCTCCACGGCGGCCCGCGGGCCGGACGGCGGCTCTGGGCCGGTCCCCGGAGCGGCGGAAGGCACGGGTGGGAATTGGAGGGAAGGCAGGCCTCGCACGTAAGGTGGGTCGAGGTCTCTCTTCTGGAGGGCAGAGACCGGGCCCAGGGCTACTGACGGTTCTCGAGCCCAGCACTGAGCCCAGAACTTCGCACACAGCAGGCGCTTAATAAAAGTTAGTCGAATGGAACCGGTTCTGTGGATTGCTGGCCGCGAGGCCGTGGAGCGGTCCGAGTCCCACGTGAGTGGGGGCGGGGTGCCGCCCGGAAGAGAGGCCGCTGTGCTACCGGAGGCTCAGGTTCCGCATGGACCTGCGATGCCTTGATGAGGGCAGTGCGGGCTGATATCAGAAGGGGATCTGAGCCGCGCGCGGCTCACGTCTGTAACCCTAGCACCCTGGGCGGCCGAGGTGGGGAGATCCGCTTGGGCTCTGGAGTTGGAGACCAGCCTGAGCAAGAGTGAGACCCCTCTCTAGAAAAAAATTAGACCTGCGTCGCCTGTGGTCCCAGCTCCTTGGGAGGCCGAGGCAGGAGGATCGCTTAGAGTCCTGCAGTTTGAGGTTGCTGTGAGCTGTGAAGACGCTACTGCAGTTTACCCGGGGCGACAGGGAAAATGAAAAGAAAAAAAAAAGAAACAGATAAAACCGATGCCCTCTTGATCTTTGCGTTGGCTGTTGTTTTGCACATTGTTTCAGGGTATTGAACTTTATTGGGTCATTCTCTGCTATCATTCTGTGCGTATCTACACCTTAATAGCGCTGTACTTTCACGTTAATCCGTTCCAACTAATGGCCTAGGACTTGCTTTGCCTTCTGGAACCTATAGTAAGTTATGGGACTAGTATGGACACAGCTCAAAAATGGTGAGTCACCCAGATCTTTTCGTGTTAGAGTAAGAGTCTGCCTTTTGAATGCATACAGGTACCTTTCAATCCATTGCCATGTTTTGGACAAAACCTTGTAAGAAGCTCCATATTATTTGTCAGGTTCTCAATATTGCTGTTAAGACCTTTCAATTCTAAGGCCCATCATTTTCACCCTGAGTTTTTGTCACACTTAAGCAGGTTCGTAGCCAAAATATTATAGATTGTTCTATATACTAGTTTCATCTTTACTACTCAGAAGGCTCACATTTCCTTTCTACTTGTCAAATTTCTATGTTCTTCCCCTTTTTTAGACCTCAGCGAGGTGCTTCCCCTGAAAACCCATCCCAGAACCCAAAACTATCATTTGGTGTCGTGTTCCTGAGTATGTTTATAGTCTTAACAACTTTATTGAAGTATAATTCACATACTCTACAGTTCACACACTTGAAGTGTACAATTCATTGGTTTTTCATGTAGTCACAAAACAGTGCAACCATTGCCACATTCAGTTTTAGAACATTTTCATCAGTCTGCTGCAAAACTCCTGGTACCCATTAACTGTCAAACTCCATTTTCCCTTTTTATAGTTTTTAACAATGGGTATTATATTTTAATTTCCATTTCCAGGGTGTGTATTGCGCATTGAATTTTTTTTAATGCATTATAATTTGTTTTAAAGCATTTTAGCATTAATTTCTTGTTTGATGTTGTCAGCTCTCGATGATAGTTTTCTTCATCTGTAAAGATAGTCTCCCCAAGAAGTTAAAAAACACCAAGTTACGAATAGTGGCGTGGTCCTTTCCTGCCTAAAATTGAATATACTTTAGCTCCAAAGGGTACACAGTGTCAGAAGAGAATCTAAATACTGGGAAGAACAGTGTTCCTATCTTTTCTTTCAGATTATTATCATATGCTCCTGTTTTTCTTGTAGACGGCAACTACAACAGTAGTTTTACCTTGAATTCCATTCTTTGAAAGTTGTTTCAGTTAAAGAATTTAATCTTCCCAGATGGCAATTAAGTTTGCCTCAAAGACTGATAGGTGACCATATACACCTTGCAATTGTGATAAGAAAATGCCATTTAAATAAGAATTTTTATTATGTTTTCCCTATGTTTTGCTTCGTATGCCCCATTAATTTATAGGAATGCCACACATTCAAGTAATTTCTGAACTATGATTTGAATAACTTTGATTTCTGTGTTGGAGCCTTGGGCTAAATAGAAAGTGGGGGCAGAAAGGTTGATTTTTGTAGAAGTTATGGAAGACTGGAGTTGGATTTTATAGGTACCCAGAGTGTGTGATGTAGTTTTGTTTTAATGTGAGAATGGAAATCAGATGTAGAAGTACCTTGTTTCAAATTGTCAGTGTAGCAATCTGGATACAGTTTTTGAGGAGCTAACATAGAAGAGACTCTTGCCTTTGCTCCAAATTTAGGCTTCCTTTATTTTATTAGATAGTGAGTGCCTCCAATATGGCAGCCATTGTGCTAAGCACTGGAGTTACTATGGTGAACAAATAAATGTCATGCCATCGTGGACATGGTTAGTGGAAAAAGCCAGATGCTAAACAAAAGTATATAGTAATTACTAATTGTGGTAAAGGGCAAGATGGAAAGTACAGAATATGACGGGAGTATAGTAGGTGTATCTAATTTAAATAGGATGTCCAGTGGAGATGGAATGTGCTCTGAAAGAAGTGCTATTTGAGACCTGGAGGATGAGTGAGAGGATGATGGAAGTCATGGTGAGTTTGAGGAAGAGATGTTGCAGGCAAAAGGAGGAGCAAGTGGGAAGACCTGAGGCAAGAAGAGCTTCTTGGCGCATTTGACAGATTGAAAGAATCATGGCTATTCTTCAGCCACTTGAGAAAATGGTATGATCTGAAACTGGGGAGGGCAGGGCACAGTAGGTTATGGCAGGGCCTTGTAAATCATGTTAAGGATTTTTTTTCTAGGTGTTGTTGGAAGTGATCCTATTAATGCTTTAAAAAATGTGATTGGCTTTTTTTTTTTTTTTTAAGACAGAGTCTCACTCTGTTCCTGGGCTAGAGTGCTGTGGCGTCAGGCTAGCTCACAGTACCTCAAACTCCTGGGCTAAAGCGATCCTCCTTCCTCAGCCTCCTGAGTAGCTAGGACTACAGGAACGTGCCACTGCGCCCAGCTATTTTTCTTTCTTTCTTTCTTTTTATTTTTTTTAGTTGTCCAGCTAATTTCTTTCTAATTTTAGTAGAGACAGGGTCTTGCTCTTGCTCAGGCTGGTCTTGAACTCCTGGCCTCTAGCGATCCTCCCGCATTGGCCTCCTAGAGTGCTAGGATCACAGGCAGTGATTGGCTTTTGTGTGGAGAATGGGTTTATTTGAGAATGGCAAGAGAAGTAAGATGACACTTGAGGCTATTGCAATATTTATTACAGGTGGGAGTTGTTGGTTTCCATTAGGGTGATATAGCATGGGAGAGAAATGGGTGGCTTTGAGACAAATTTTGGAATTTTTAATTCTGAGCATTTGTGTTGGCATTATTTGACTGTAGACTTTGGAATACAATGGAAAACCCATTTTTATATTTAGTTGGATTATTATAGTAGAAAGGGTACAACCTTAAAGCTTCTTTGGAATAAAAATGTAACCAGACTGCCAGACATTACAGAAGCTAATTGGACCATACTTTCCAAAATGAACTCGAAATGAGTTACTTCTGAAAATAATTATGTGAATGAATTGTTTATATTATCCTTTTCATGGACATGAAATAAATGAAACAATATATTAGGAATTGGAAGAGGTAAAAATGGTCTATTAATAACTGCCCTTGAAGAGTGCAAAAGCTGCAGAGTGTGTATAGTTTCTGGTTAACTGGCAGGTTAACATCGGGTCCCTTATTTGTGCAAGAAAAATATTCCTCTTTGAAGTGAATGTCTTTACATGTTATGTAGCTCTGAGTAAAGCAGCAGGATGACGTGGATCTTGTGGATTGGAAAAAAAGTTGGTTTGTTAACTGAAGCTTCAGACCAGTTATATCATACTCCTCATTGGTCTAATTGCAGAAGTAATGAAAGTTGTTTCTTAGAATTAGAGCTAAAATAACTTATATATAGAATTGTTAGAAGTAATTTACAGGAACTTTATGTCATTAGGTTCCAAATTGGGTTTCTTAAAGTTTACTGTGCCTACTATTTAAGAGGCCAGAGGGTCTCCCTCTGTTGCCCAGACTGGAAGTCCTGGTCTCAAGCAGTCCTCTTGCCTCAACCTCCCAATTACCTAGGACTACAGGTGTGTGCCATCATGCCCAGCTTCTTAAACCATTTTTCCGTAGAGATGAGGTCTTGAGCTCCTGGCCTCCAGTGATCCTCCTCCCTTGGTCTCCCAAGTGCTGGGATTACAGGCATGAACTGTTGTGCCTGGCAAAAAAACTTCTTTTGACTTAACAAAGTACTTGTTTGCTGTAACAATAAAAACACTAAAGTGCTACAGCAAAATTTTCTTCTGATTACTTACTGTTTGCTGTGTATCT